GAAGAGAGAGAACAAATTGATGGGGAGAGAGAGCAAATCGGCGGCGGCGGAGACAGGGTTCAAATTGGAAGAGATAGAGAGAGAGCAAACGGAGGGAGAGAGCAGACGGAGGAGAGAGAGAACGCAAATGTCGGAGGAGAGAGAATGAAAACTGATAATGAAGAGAGAGAAATCGACACTGCTTTTTAGGAGGAAAATTATTGTTTTATTAATTTATTTTAATTTTATTTGTTTTATAATATAAGGGTATAATGGAAATTGTACATATGGAGAGGGTATATGTGAAGGGATTATTTTTTTTTTCTGAGGCAAGGGTACTCCATGAAGTACAAGTAGCATTTTAAGGGCATTTTTGATAATGCCCCGTTTAAGTGTATCTCTTGCGGCAGGCAAAGGGTAGAGAGGTTTTAGCAGTGGCAATTTCGTAGTATACTGAAAGATCCATGGTCAAATTCACAAGATTAAACTGAATTTTTTTGTGCAAACTCATTAAAACACTAAACTCAATTGTTTTTTTTAAGTTTATATATTTTTATATAAATTTATCTAATTTTATATGAAATTTTAAAATTTGTATACTCTTATACAAAATTAAAAAAATATATCCATTTTACCATTTATTTACTAAATTTAAAAGGTTGATGTTTTTTTATACAACTTACATAAGATAAAATGCAAAGTTTTTTCTATATATGTATATATACAATGAGGGAATAAATGTTAAATTAGATTGTATAGAAAGAAAATGGAGAGATTCGATTAAATGTAGTTGAAGAGCTCATCCTTGCGAGATTCTAATGCCGACGCCTCCATGGAATCAATTGCTTAAACCTTTCGTATACCCTTTCCTGCATTTTCATCATGGAATATCTATCGGTCCACTCTTTTCAATTTTTATTCATAATAGACAAAAAAAAAAACATATCATGGGACCTTCAAAAAAATCATATTACATTAACCATTTTAAAATAATCTGTTTTTTTTTTGGTAAAAAAATACGGTGCTTGAATGAAACGAGCTTAAGGAAAATAATTAACGAAATATTTTAAGCGTGGATTAATATGTTTTAGTGGAAGAAAAATACAAACACAAGATTTAGCATATGAAATTCATGTTTTAGGCAAAGTATAAAAAAAGGTTTTTTTTTTCCTCACCAAATTCTAGGCATTCAACACATTTTTCTCGCCCTTCTAAGCTAATTATTATAAAAATTAATAAATAACGTAAAATTAACAGCTTAAATAAAGATTTAATACACGTGAAAACTGAAAAGTTATTTCGCTTCATAGTTATGAACCAAAAATGATAAAACACTTTTTATTTTATTTTTTTGTGAAAATTTATATATAACAAAGAAAAAAAATGATAAACACTTACCCAGAAATGTGACTTAGAATATGAAAGATTCAGATTCAGGAGATTCCTTTTCCTTCTAACTCTGCTTATCTTCACCTTCTTGCCGCCGCCGCCGCCGGCGCAACTAGCCACCGTGAAACGTGAAATGTCGAGTTTGCCCTCGACAACCTCCTTAAATTTCGCCGAGCTACCGCACCTCGTGGACCCAAAGAAGCCGCTGTTCTCCTTCACCAATTTCACTCCTCCCTTCTTCAGCGACCGAGACCGGCGCCGCACGGCGTACGGACCGTGTAGGACGGTGGTCGGAGAAGGATCGTTCCCCGCCATCTTCCCGGCAGCATCCGACATCCTCGGAGGAAGCTCCAGGCTCCGGACGACGCCGTTTTGCTTCTTCCCAGATCCTTTGCTCACGGCGGCCGTGACGTCATCGCCGGAGCGAGCCCGAGGCTTCCCTGGCGCCTCCTCCCACAGGAACGGCACCGTGCCGGCGATGTTCACCGGAGGCGTGGCTAACCCCGGCGTCTCGGTTGCTCTGTTCGTCATCGGGAGCGAGTACAGAGGAAGCTTTGGTGTCGAGCAACGTTCTTGATGATGTTCGTCATCGAAAAACATAATCTTGATCCGTTTTTTCATGCACCCTGGATTTACTGATGCTTTTTCCTGGAGAATTAACGAGTACCCAGAATTTTTCTTAACGATTTGTGAAATGGGTTGGATTTAAATAGATGAAAAAAGCAGACTTTCTAGTTGATCTGTACAAGAAAAGAAAAGAAGGGTTAAGGGACTAAATAAATAACGCTCCCTTGCGCTTCCTTCCTTCCTCACGAGAGGCGGCGGGTGGTGAAGAGAGGAAGGTCCCACATGATAAATTCCATGTTTTCGTATTTGTTGTTGCCTTTTAATAAATGCTCATGTTATCGTATTTATTTGGAAATATAAAAAAATATAAAATTTTTAAATTTGTTAAACAAATATATGAATTTTGAATTTTATAAAAATATAAAAATTTTAAAATTTTAATTAATTTTTTGTGTGATTGTATGCGAAAATAAGTACATTACTATTTAATTACAAAAATATTCACTGTCCACACGCATTCTTTAAATGGATTTAACCATATACCATTTATGGATATGAAAAGACTATGCATTACTAATGGTTCGATCCAATTTATTTTTTATATGAAATGTTTTAAAGATTTTTTTTTCATACTTGTTTAAAAAACGGATTTTAAAATTAAGTCATGATGATTCACAAAATTGACTCGTTTAAAAAAAAAAGATACCTATCACAAACAAAAAAACTCGTTAAAAAATGAATTTTTTTAGATTCGTTTAGAAAACGAGCTAACGAACCAATTCATTTTGTTTACGAATTGGATAAATTGAATTAGGATTGATTATAACCGATTCGTTTAAAAGCAGTGAGCTAATCCATATTCAAAAAAAAAAATCGTTTAATAACTCTCTAATCCCATCGTCTTCTCCAATCTTATATATATATATATATATATAATATGAAAAAAAGTACGTTGTTATATATATATATATTTATATGTATATATTGATTGGATTTCGAATTGAAGATGAGAGAGATGTGTGTATTCGAGAAAGTAAGGAAGATTCGTCTCCGGTGCAAGTTTTCTACTTTGGAATTTGGACACAAAATCGTCTAGGAATTTTTTTAATTTGCAATTTTGAAATGGGCCGTTCGGTTAGCGGTGTTGTGTGCATAATCCAAAACTTGTAAAGACGTTATATTTTTTTTTCAAAATAAGATGTAATTGGCCATTAAAGATGCTGATAGAAATTAAACAAAAAATGGTAACTTATTTCTCAAACTCATTGTCCAAGTCACACAACAACAACATCCCGAAGATGATAATAACATTACACAAAACAAAATAAATTATACAAACACTCACATGATATGAAGAGTAAAACTTCCAAAACATATTACAACACTAACGTGTAAACCAGGATTCAGAAATGATTCGATCCTGTAAACAACACTTCAAATGAAGACTGGAGAAAAAAAATACAACGTGGTAAATGATTGTTCTACGGGAAGTTTTCAATGGGACAAAATGATTGAGAGTGCAGTTTTTTTATCTTTCGATGCATTGAAAACCTTGGCAAACCCATAACCAGATTCCAAAAAGAATAGCACATATGAGGAGATCGAACATCACTACCATCCACACGTGTTTCCTCCATATCCGCTTCGCCTTTTGTTTGTGATGATCGTGTAATAGCCCGTTTCTCAAATCCTTAGACAACACGTCACTGCTTCCATCCCCACTGAAATCAAGCTTTCTGTCCGAGTCTTTACTCGTTTCGTCTTCACCGTTTGTCCCCGTTTGCTGTCTCTTCTTCTTCTTCAACACCTTCAAAGGCTTTGCCAGGAGGGGCGTCCTCACCGCTCTT